GTGTATCCTTAATATCGAGTTCTAATTTTACAATAACGTAGAAAAATTAAAAAAATTATGAAAATTTATTAGAAGAATTTTGATGATTCAAATTTAATAAATCCCTTTAAAACAGTAATACACCATGCTAGAATTTTTACGACATACTAAATTGAAATGGAAAAGGGGGAATGGATGGGGGGAGGAATTAGGCCCATTACTGAATAACTTAGACGACACTATTTTTCAAGGTATACATATATTACCGGTATTTAGCGATTATGATATATGCCCTGGTAGCACGTATGTAGTAATTAAACATCTGCTTTCATTTAGTTTTAGATTACGTTGCGAAGCTGTGCTGCTTATTAAATTTTTCTTAAGTTGTATTTCAAGTTTATTCTATTCATAATTTGTCGTTAATCCAAGGCCGTAACTAGGCTCAAATGTTTAGTGAGGCAAGGGATCTGGGGGTCACCCGTGTCCCAAGCGGGTCCAGGGTAGTGTCCTGATCGGGATTCTCGGGGGGAGGGGAGAGTTCCCGAAGCCTGGGTTTTAGCAAGTTAAAGACCTAATCTTTGGAAGTTTTCAAGTTTTGAATTATTTTTATATGCTTTCTTAACTATTATGAAGCACCTGGTGAGATGATCCATTTACAGAAATTGAAACTTAAGTTGAAAGTATTGATTTAGTACAAAGACACTCATGATTAATTAAAGTTCAAAGTTAAACTTTTTCACTTTTCAGAAAACTCTGAATTTTTAGTTAGGCATTTGCATCGCTTGCCTCAATAGCAGTTACGGCCTTGTAATCTACGGCGATCAGAATTTTCTAAACTGTTGTAGAATAAAGAAAAAATCTCGTAAATACACCTTAAAGTTTAATGGAAAATTAATATATACGTTATTTTTATATAACAAACAATGATCGGTCTCATATAAATCTACAAACAATATAAATCTGCGCGTAGGGCATATAACACGAACCCTAGAAATTCCAGAGGTGGGATCAGGTGCCTACGAGAAGTAAGCATCCCCTGTTGACCGGTCACATCCGCCGTGAGTGCCACGTATAGCTAGGGTAGACGGAACAATTGCAACCAGTTTGCTGTTTTATACAGATTATTAATTATAGGTACTTTTAAAATGATTAAGGAGTGGGAAAAAGTTTTCCTTGAAGGCTTGCTTTCATTTTAAAGATTTATTAGAGCATGAAAACATCAACTTTATTTTTGAAAAGAACTTTCCTATAAATCATTATATTAATACATTTTGTGTTCTTTTCTATTCAAAATTCCGAAAACGTGACAAGGAAAGAAATTTTACTGTGATATATTTAAGCCTTAAACAGGAAGCGTCTGTTTCTTTGAGTGCGAATAACGTGTTTTCTTAATATAAACATTGTATTTCTATTCAATAAAAATGGATGTATATTTCAAATCCATCATCCCATTTTAAACATGAGTCCATTTATGATTTATAAAATAAAATGTTGTCTCTTCAGCCAAAGATTGTGTTTCTGTAAATTATGATTCTGTGATACTTAAAGACAAGAAAACAGTGTAAATGTTCCTGACATTTTGTGAATTTCTTGTTTTAAGTGCGTGCAGTATTGTATTAAAATAAAAATGCAATCGAGATGTAATTCTGCTTAACCTTTCATGTTTCTTTGATAATTAAGCTATTTGAGGTTAACAACGCAGGAAATTAAAAATGCATGTTTCTAATTAAATTGATAATTGTTATATTATGTAATTATATCTATTTTTATAACCAGTAGGTTAGCTTTCAGTATTTTTAATTATTAAAGTCAAAGTACGTCCCAAATTCATTCAAATGAAAAAATAATAACACATAAACGTCGCATAAGCTTTAGTCATTAAATTAATATTTGATAAATAAATACCTAATTGGATATTTGATCAATCCGATGAATATATTTATTAATCAATAAATAGATTGATAACTCCGAGCTGAATAAAAATATGATTATTTTAATAATTGTAGTTTTAATTTAAAAAAAAACCATCTTATAAAGAATCATAATTGAAATAAGAAATCTTAATTACTCACCAAATGTTAAATACATCAAGTGTCTATTTAAGCACTATTACAGAGACACCAGATATTTTTTGCCAAAATTACAACTCATCATTCGTGTCTGAAATTTCAATCGCCTGATAACAGAAAGGTCAACTTATATATGCTGGAGGAAACATGTTATTAACGGAAATAAAAATGTCTTTGAAAACCTTATAAAAACCGGCGGGGACATATTGATGACATTGGGCCACGTTAAGATGTGAATTGCATACTTTATGCAAATACTTGCTACATTTATAAAACAGCAGAACTTGTTATGTTGTAAAACACTGCAAGTAATGAGGCCAACACAGGAATTTCTCTTTTTCTTGGTAAGTGAGGATACTCTTATACAGGAAAAAAGATAAATGGAATTTACTGATATAATTTTATTAATCGCTGATGTAAACAAAATTTTCAACAAGTTCGATTACAAAGGATCCGTTAAAACGCGTCTTCTCTGCTCAATGAACTGAAAACCGACAAGTCAAATGTTGAAATTTATATACATTTTGGAATAATTCTGAAAATAAAAGAATGTTATCATCATATGTGCGTATTTAAATATACAAATTTGCAATTGTTTATATCTTTGAAGTCTCACCTTAGTTTTATGTCAAAAGTAACCTGAGCTTATATCTGGTGTTTTTCTTCCAGTTTTAAATTGCCGTCACAGTAGGTCATGCAGTCGGTAGAGTGCTCGCTCCGTGATCGGAAGGCCGTGAGTTCGAATCTCGGCCGAAACTGATCTAGGTCGATAAAAAATAGGTAGCAGCTGTTCCTTCGCCAGGCGCTCGGCACTTTGATATGAAAGTTGCGGGTCCTTCGGATGAGACCCTCGAAAGCGAGGCCCCGTGTCACAACAGGCGTTGGCACGATAAAGTTTCCTCACTGCTCAATGGCCATAAGTGCATAGTAAAGGTCTATATTTAAAGCCCTTCACCGGTATATGGTGACGTCTTTATATGCGTGAAAAATTCTCGGATGGGACGTAAAACAACATACAATCAATCAATCAATCCAGTTTTGCAATTATATTGTTCACAGGACTGTTGAAATTGATCACTTAGTTATCTTCACCTTCTATAAAACAATAACATACAGGTTGTAAGTGTTGTTTGCGCTGGAGGATACCACGGGGAGAAACCTGGACGATGCCCCCGCATAACAACATGTGATTGTCCAATTGGTCAGACCCAATGTACACGTGACAGCGATTGTTTTTACGGTGAGGTGTAATGATTAATATTGACATTTGCAAATGCATCTCTTTATCTAAAATTATTTACATTTCCAGCTGTTTTCTCTGTGATACCTCTTTGAAAGTTAGGTGTGTTGATTTCTTGATATTTACGATTGAATGTAAATTTCGCCGCGTGAAAGGTCAAGTGTGTAATATGCATGTCAATCTCTCGCCACTGTCTTTGCCTCTGGCGTCAGTGGGCGGAGACTATTGAATTTAACATGGAATGCGTGTATATTAAATCCATTAGACAGCATTTTTATTGATTTCTACACTGACATTTCACATATGAATGTAAATTTAAGTAACCACTGTCTAGTTTGTTGAGTATGCCAGGACATCAACGCCTGTTACGCATAAATTATTCCACGTCTCCAATTGTCGTTGATGTCCCTGGGATACCCAACAAACTAGATAGTGATTTCTGAAATAATCACCAAAATTATACGCTAATTTTTATGCCCCCGGATCGAAAGATCCCGGGGGTATATTGTTTTTGTCCTGTCTGTCTGTTTGTCCGTTTGTCTGTCTGTTGTCAACTGTAACCTTGCCCATAACTTTTGATTGGTTGGAGCTATGACTTTCATATTTCACATGTGTATTCCTTGTCACAAGACCTTTCTTTGGGTACCATGATATTTGACCTTGATCTTGGAGTTTGACCCACTTTTGCAAAATTTTATGAGACTTTAACCTTGGCCATAACATCTGAACAGTTGGTGCTTGGGGTTTCAAACTTCACATGTGTATTTTTTGTGACAAGGCTTTCAACAACTTTGACCTTTTGACCTTGACCTACTTTTGAAAAACTTGAACCTTGGCCATAACTTTTGAACAGTTGGTGCTTGGGGTTTCAAACTTCACTTGTGTATTCCTTGTGACAAGACCTTCCTCTGGATATCAACATCTTTGACCTTGACCTAGGAGTTTGACCTACTTTTGAAAAACTTTAACCTTGGCCATAACTTTTGAATGGTTGGTGCTAAGGCTTACATACTTCACATATGTAATCCTTCTGATAAGACCTTCCTTTGGATACAAACAACTTTGACCTTGACGTTTTACTTAGTTTTAAAAAACTTTAACCTTCACCATAACTTTTGAACAGTTGCAGCTAGGGCTTTCAAATTTCACAGGTTCCTCGAGACAAGACCTTTCTTTGGGTACCAAAATTTTTTAGCTTTTGGCCTGGATTTTGACTTGCATTTGAGAAACTTTAACCTTCACATAAGCTGCCATACGGGGGCATCAGTGTTTCACAAACACATCTTGTTTTACATGCAGTGAGTCACTTGATCAGACTTTATTGCTATATATATTTGCATATATAATTATAGAGGCACAATAAATTAAATATGATAAGATATCGTTTTTTTAAATTATTTCAATCGGCGTTACAGGATGAAATATACGGAGATAACGAACAGTATTCAAGCTCAAAAGTCCATTAAACAATACAAAATAGGAGCAGGATTTGATCAATTGAATGATTTGTGCTAATGATACCCTGAAAAGGACATTCAATCAATCGAATATAATCTCAAATTCCATTTGATTGCATTTCTAAAAGCTTGGTATCTCTCATGATCTAACAAATATCCATTAATTAACCAATCAATCAATCAGTACCCCGATCACACAATTCTTTATTTAAAAAAAAATCAAGACATTTAATGGATTAATATACAAATAACTTATTTGATCATCAATTCCAAGTTTTTTTTTTTGATTTAAAGTGCTGCTCGTTTGGTTGTGGTTGTAGAACTTCCTGTGTAAAGCCAGTATACGAACCAGGACCACAATCAGGTATTACAGACTTAATGTTGGGAGACCCATCGGTTAAGGGAGATACTCTCACAATGAAAAAGTACTACTTTTTTTCTTAATTATTTTTTTTTTTATATGTATTTCATTTTCTTGAACATTGCCCTGTGTGCTACATTGATGTTACTAAATTTTCTTTTCAAATAAAGCCGTGTTTTTGCAATTCCTGCAGGGAATTCTATATTTAAAAGAAAGGTTATTTTCAATTAATCAAAAGTTAATTTTCTAAAGACCATGGAAATCAGATATTTTAATTATAGGATATATACTGAAAAAACACCGATTTACATATAAAATGTGAATTCTAAAATACCATTTAAGCCTTTGTTGCTAACCCCTTATTGTGTTTATAATTTTTTTTGTACTGTAGGTGGCTGTTTCTATAATGGTAGATATTATCCCCTCGGGGAAAGCATTCCTTCTACCGATGGGTGCAATACATGTTTTTGCACAGGCAATGGGCAAGTTGGATGCACATTGATCGGTTGCCGTAAGTTTTCTTGAACACCCACTGGATGTGGTATTAATTAAATGAGCATTGCCATAAGTATTACATTACATCCATTGATTGCCATAAGTATTACAGCACATCCATTGGTCGTTGAATGTATTACATAACATCAACTGCGTGCCGTTAGTATTACATAACATCTGTTGGTTGTCGTAAAATATTCATTATATCTTATGGTTGTCTTTAGCGATTAAACGAGAACAATTACAAATTTGTTGAGTGAATTTAATTTCTTTTGTTACTAAATTACACAAAAAAATATGATCAAATACTAGATATAATGATACAACATCGTGAATACTTGTAATTATTTTAGCTGATCTTTGCACCCTGCCCAAAGCACCCGGAGCCTGTAGGGGTTATTTTCCGAGATGGTGGTACAACAGCTTCACCAATCAGTGTGAGGTTTTCATCTATGGAGGCTGTGAAGGAAACGACAACAGATTTCAAACGATACACGAATGTCTCCAGCGCTGTGCTAAACGAAAATGTAAGTACCAAAACAGAATATAAATACATGTGCATTGTTATGATTTTTTTATTCCTTGCGTTTTTCCTTTGTTTTTGATATTTTATGCGACGATTTTGAGTTGGCTGGTTCTCTTTTTAAATTTGAATATTGATTCCTTTTTCCTTACTTCTTATTTTTCAAATGCTTTTATGTTTTATTTATTGGTATCTCTTTTTTTTTTTAAATTTTTGTCTAGAGAAGGGTATTCTTTTGTTTTGTTTTTTGTTTACGTTTGTTTGTTTGTTTTGTTTTATCTTTATTTCTTGAGTCTTTTTTTTGGGGGGGGGGGGGGGGGCGGGTCTGCTTTCTTTGTTAAGTTATATATTGTATTTATATTGCTTTTTACATCAATGATTTTAAGGATTAGATTCTAGTACATTCTTCAATATTTACTTTTTTATAAATCAAAACATTATTCCACCATTGGTAGGTCTTTTTCAATGTAATAGTATACATAATACATTTATTATTAGATATGTTATTAATTGTCATTTCATTTACAGATTGAAAAATTCGGGTCGCTGAGTAAGGAAAATTCCTCAAAATATGTAATCTTTATTGAAGCAGAATTAATTGATATATGAACTGGTGTTTAGAAAAAGATTAAATCATTTGAACCTGATATCGTTTATTATTTTAAACACTCTGCTAACAGTACGAGGGGTTATCAAAAAGTTCGTGGACTAGCGTCATAAAATTAAAACCGCTTTACGTACATCAATGAAGTTTTAATTAGCATCATCTTTTCTATCTATAGATTAAACCATAAATCATATTTTTTTATTTTTTTTAATGAATTGTTTAGTGTATTTGTAAGCAAAGGTATGTCCAGGCGGCGCAACCTCTAATATGACGTTTTTTTCTACCTGAGTGTAACTGAGAAAAACTCCTTAGATATGAGTATTTGTCATCAAAAAATCTCGTTAATTCAGGCATGTGGTACGAAACATTTGTTCAGTAAAATTTGCAATTTTTACCCCATTCTGTAATGTCTATGAAATTTTATCGTAAATTTTATATGGAGTAAGGGCTTGAAAATAACGTCAAAAAGGGGGAGGGGTTTCTTTTTCAAACACTCTATAGAGTTTCGCTCCTGGAAAAACTGGTATTGACCTAAGGAATATTAAACTGGCTACAGAAAAATAAAATGCATCCAGAGTACTTGTTTTTTAATGCCCAAAAAGATTCAGAGAGATGAAATATGCACAGTTAGTGTCGATTTGTAGTCAGGGTGTCAAAAGTCAGTCACGTCGAAAAGTGACGTTGATCATGTGTGGTAGAAATTGAACTCCAACAAGCTAAGTATTCTGGCATAATCAAGTGAGGATCTTTCCCTATATAAAGATCCATTTACGATATTATATGCATTGAAAACAGCTGCTCATGACATTGTAAATTCATATAAATAAGACCGGATTAAGTCCTTACTTAACTCCAGGTAATCTCATCAAGATAAGTGTATGAGGTAGAGAGAGCGGGCATTAAGAAACAATGACGTTAAGCGGACGTCATGACACTAAACGGCGACAGCGCCGGGTGATCACATAAAGTCTTTTTAATTTTAGAATAATTTGGCAAATTATCAACGTATCAAGCTAAAATTTTCAACATTTCTTAAACTCTTGTTGTTTTATGTTTCGCATAAATTTTGTAAGCAAAGACTACATATTATTGATTTTATCGCGTCAGTCCACGAACTTTTTGATAACCCCTCGTATGTAATTACCTTACTTTTCATGAAGGTTTTAACAGATGGTAAGATACACAGACAAACATTACATGTAGTGTATAGCATAGATGGATCGAAACTCAAACTTGTCTCACAATATCATTTATTTATTCATATCGATATCAAACTTTTATTACGAACAAAATGTCCTGTTTAATTTTCTTACACGATAAAAATTCTGAGAAATAACACACAAAAAAAGAAAATCCAGAAATGACTGTAATAAGCCTTTACATGCCATACTTATATCACCGAGTTTTTGGCGATGTTTTTGTTCGCTGATATAATGACCTGAAAATAGGACAGGAGACGATTACAGTTGACGTCTTTATTTCTGAGTGTCCGAAGAATAAGTGATAAGATATAATCATTTGCAATCACAAAAATAATGCTGGCAATATCACTTTAAAAATCACAAATGTGAGGTGGCATATATGATATGACATGCGCGTAGTTCCCCGTTAAGGCAATCTCACACATTTGATAACAGATTAATAAAATAATTGCTTAAGACGCATTATACAACCACTATAACAAATTGCCTGTTTGGTGGTACACTATAGTTTCAAGTGCAATGACACCTAACAACAAATTTACAAACATTACAGGGTTGAAGTGAAAAATAAATGAAATATCTGTATACAACATTATTCAAGAGTTAAAACAAAATGGGGAAATTATTCAAATAATAGAAAAACTCACTTTGCAAAGTGAAGGTTTGTTTAGGACAGATGATAATTCAAAATGATTGACCCAAAACACAAGCACATGGCTTTGTTTACATCATTAATTGAACTTCCGGTATAAGTTACTTAACTTCCGGTTATCATCTAAAAAGGGGGGGGGGGGTGGATTTATGTAGTAGACAAACAAAGGATTGAACTGACATCAATAATAAAATGATCTGAACTAAACGAAAAATGCTATATATGCTAGAATGCTACTTGTTTACATGAACTATTGAACTGTGCACATGTACTGATCTGAACATTTAAGAAACTCTGTGCTTAAGTGTGTTAGCAGATCATGAATATGACAACAAATTAAACACATGAGTAAAATCATAAAACAAGTAACTTACATGATCAATTTTTGCATAACGGACATCGATAAAAGATTTGTTGACAAAGCCGAAAGTGTGTTGTTTCATTTTTCAAGATTTCAACTTGTAAGAGCCAAAACCAATATAGCAAAAGAGAGCTTTTTCCGGATTGACTTAATTTAACAAGTTAAGTTTTAAAAATCAAATAAAACAGTCTAATAGATGATATTAAGACTTTAGATATGGGACATAGAAATTCTTTATAAAATAATGTTACTTAATATAGATTAACTCAATACAGTGTAAATACAATTTTGGTAGGATGTCCATGCACATAAACAATAAAAATATTAAAATTCTAAAATGCGTAAAAATGAATGTACAACTGCAATGTTATAAAATGCACAAAAATGAATAAACAATTGCAATGATACAAAAAGATATGTAAAAGTTACTTTACCTGAAAATAGGACAGGAGACGATTACAGTTTACGTCTTTATTTCTGAGTATCCGAAGAATAAGTGATCGGACAAAGCGAGATAGCGTCCCCTGTCCGGAACCTGAGTTAATCTTGTCACAATGGTAAAACAAAGTGTGAAAAGCAATTTACTTAAAAACTCACATTAAAGAGGGTGATTTACCCTGCAGCTTAGTTTGTTTAACGAGTAACTCTGATTAATTCGGCTTCATTTGATTTCCTTGACACAAATAGATTTCACAAATGTTCAAAGAAAACTTATCACAAATAAGAAGATATATACTTGTCAAGGTAAATAAGCAAGTGACTCGAAATAGAGAAGAATGCATTTGTTGGAATGTGTAACATAATTTGGATTAAATTACCGAAGAAAAAATAAAAATGTTTTAATGGAGAAAAAAAGGAATTTAGAACTAAAAATTTGCATGAGAATATTTCAAATAAATGTATGAAAATAGAAAACTGATTGGAGGGTCAATGTGACACTATGATACTTACCATATGCTGAATAGTTTTTAAATTTCATGATTTAGTCATGTTTGCACATTTTCGAATACGGAACTTTCGAGATACACCGGAATCGTGGTTTACGGCTGACTTTTACACACAGCAGTGACGTGATAATAAGGAAATGTAGGGCAGTGTAATGGCGAATGTTTACATCGCAACGAAATATTAAGCAGACGAAATTATTCGACGTCTTAAAAAAAGGAAGAATACAGATATTCCCAGCCACTACTGGTGTTCTTTGCCAGGGTGTGAGGCAGAAGGGAGGCCAATTGAGGCACTTATCCTTGGATGCAAGGGGTCCAGTTTTAAGACTAAGAGGAAACTCAAATTACGAAGGCAGTGGCCTCAGCAGGTCTTTCGAGACGAGAAGATTTCCCCTAAACGATACACTCCGTTTGTCCCCTACATTTTGCAGATGGTTGTCCCACTGAAAACAATCCTATCCCCACCTTATTTAGTCGCTACAATTTCAAGATTCCAAAACAGAAACCACCTCCATTGAAAAACGTCAGCATGCATATGCGAATACAACCGCTATGAATATACATGTATACCTCTACATCAACAGAGAAGAAGTGTGAAGAGGGTCAATGTAAAAAAACCCAGGGCCATCCATAAAGCTGACTAGATTCGAAGAATTCTTGATGACACTCCCCAGAATTTGACTTGGTGTCAACACCTCTTTACTTGCTAACTTGTTTGGGGTAGTGAGAGTCAGGTATACCAAATATTTAGCACATGGATTAATCTCATATATAGGGTGTGTTGCTAAGAAATATAAGATTCAAACTGCAAGTTCCCTAATTTGTCTAAATTTCAAATAAAAATCTAAATATTGTTAATATTTTATGAAAATATCTTATTATATAACAAATGGTTTATTTCCTTAAATAAATTAATTACTGGTAATTGGTAAATATATTATATATATATTTATTTAGATTCACAAACAATTTGATATAATTCACACAGAATACTAGTATTTTGACTTTGAAAAGTATTACTATGTAAATGTGTTTTATATAGGTATTTGGACCTCAAAGTAAATGGCTTCAAGAGTACAAGTAAGGAAAGTCATGCCATACTCGTTCAAGAAAGCTTTTCCTAGGACAAGAGTTAACAAGAGTGAAGAGTAATCGACTGAACAGAGATATTTGTTCAGCGGCCACGTACCCCTACAGCATCAAATATACAATAACTATATTAAAGTGCCTTGTTGGAATCACTCCCTCTGGTACCTTCTCTTTTGTGTTTGAGTTATGGGGAGGGAATGTTTCAGACAGATATATCATGGCTAAAAGTGGATTTCTTGACCTAATTTCTCCTGGAGATGAGGTAATGGTGGACCATGGCTTTTTATTTAAAGGGGTACTTACTTGAAAGGAAGGCAAAGTTGATAATACCACCTTACACGATAAAATGTAATTAGGAAAGGGGGAAACAACGCGTAGCCTCTCAAGTTCGTGATACACGATACATTGCTAAACTTCGAATACATAAAGAGAGGACAATTCAGAGATTAAAATGTTTTCAACTGTTGTCAACTGTTACGCCATTATCTTTAAAACCATTATAGCAAGTCAGATAGTCACTGTATCTGCTTTTCTTACTTATCTTGTATCATCACTTGACAAACGAATAATGATCTACATATGATGCATGTAATTGTACTATCCAAAGTGAAAGATGTGTTCATGAATGCTCTATGATCATGAATAGTAGCTATGCACATAATATGACAACTGAAACATGTGCTTAAATTAAATCAAAAGAATAAGATCTCTTTTATGTATCTGAATGTTCATTCCAATAAGACATCTTGATACATACCAGACCTGGGGTCAATTACTTTAAATGTAATG